ACCACGGGAGTTGCTAGCTGACCCCGACATCCAACGAGCCATCACCACGGAGGCCTCAGCGCTCCTTGACCGAATGCGAGCCGACGAGAGTCTCAACCATGGTGCGATGTGGTATGGCTGGCTGAAGAGAATGCGCCGCCAGCTCATCAAATGTCATCGGCTACACACCCAATCGACCAAGGCCAATCTACAACACCTAAGCCTCCGACTGGCTACAGCAAAGCGAGCCCTGGCATACTACGGTGACCTGTCCACCCACGTTGCCGATGTAGCTGCAGCTCAGCTAGCTTACGACACTGCCAAGGCCGAGCACAGTCAATATGCTCGCGACCGGCAATTCGACTTCCACGCCAACTCCAATGAACGAGGCACCTCTCACTTCTTTCGGAAGCCACTGGGAACCAAGGTGCCCATCAACTGCGTCACAGTGGATGGCACGACGACCACAGACGTGCCCACAGTCCAACGTGCATTTACAGCCCACTGGCGATCCATCATGGCGACACCCAGGGAAGCCGACCCGCCTGACCACCATCGCCGCCGTGCAGTTTTGGAGGTCCTGACGAAACGGCTCACACTGGTGGACCGTGAGAGTCTCGACCAGCCCATTACAGCGCTCGAGCTGTGTGACGCGATGAAGACGATGAATCCATCCAAGTCCCCCGGTCCAGATGGCTGGTCGGCAGGGTTCTTTCAGGTGGCCCCAGAGATCTTCTCGCAGCTGTTGTTGTTGGTGTTCAGCTACCAACTCGCCCACCATGGCTGCCTCCTTCCTCACCAGCGTCGCAGCGCCATCACCCTGCTGTACAAGAGTGGTGATAGAGGCCTGCCTGGCAACTACCGGCCCATCTCCCTTATGCCAGTGGAGGTGAAAGTGTTGTCTCGTGCCCTGGCCTTCCGTCTCGCTCGTCATGCACCCCAGCTTATCCACCCAACCCAAGCTGGCTTTGTGCCCGGACGCAGACTCCATGACCACGTCACCATGGTCCAAGCCCTCCAACACTACTGCACGTTGGAGGACCAAGACAACTATGCTACGTTCCTCGATTTTTCGAAGGCATATGACATGGTCGACCAAACCTTCCTGTTTGAAGTGCTTGCGGAGATGAACATGGGTGCAACATTCATCTCCTGGGTCCGACTGCTCTACAATTCACCAGTGGCTCACCTCCTCTTCAATGGCACACTGGGTCCAGCCATCCGTCCAACCCGGGGTGTGAAACAAGGCTGCCCACTGTCATGCCTGCTCTTCGTGCTATACCTGGAGCCGCTGGGAGACATGCTACGCCAGCACCCTCATCTCGGAATCTCCCTACCACACGGAGACACCATGACTAGCATCTTTTTTGCGGATGACTCGACACTCTTGTCGAAGGATCTGCCTTCTGCTGTCGAGCAGATGACCATCGTTGAGGAGTTCTGTGCTGTGTCTGGTGCTCGACTAAACCAAGCCAAATGTCAAACTCTGGTTCTCAACGGCCACCTCGACCCTGCCGACACGGACGGCGGGGGCCTCCTGAACATTGTGCCCACAGGCCAACCCGTGAAGTACCTTGGACTCATGTTTGGCCACCAGCTCCCAGCCGACCACCAGCTCAACCTCGTCCACGAGAGGTTTATGGCCAGCTTCCAACAATGGGGCTGCCGTGCTCGTACGCTCCCAGGGCGTCGGTTGCTGGCCAATACTGTCATGCTCTCACTCTTGTGGCATGTTACGGCCGCTCTACCTGTGCCACCCGCCATGGTGCAGAGCTGGCAGTCTATGCTCAACCGCTACATCCTCGGCCGCAAGATTATTCCCACAGACCGTTACCGTCCTCTGCTTGCTGCATGCCTGCAGTTTGACTCGAAACTAGGCCTTGGGCTACCTCACGTTGCGTCCAGGATCCGTGCACAACGGCTACAGATCCTTCAACGTGCCATGTCCCTGGCAACACCTAACCGTCCACTTTGGCAACCACTGGTATTACGCCAGTTTGAGAGGTCTATGGGTCGGCTCCATCGTGCATCCTGTCCATTTGACTTCTTATTATACCACCCCCACTACAAGTCGAAGTGGCTCAAGCTGTGGGAACTACACCCTCTGTGGATGGATGTGTGGAGACAGTGGTCGGCTACACCGATGGCTCGGCGCGTTCAGCTGCCCCTCACCCCAGCGACAACTATGCAGCTTCCGGTGTGGCTCACGACCTACGAGCCCACCATGTCGAATGGCAAATGTGCAGCTCGCATTGTCAACTCCCCCCCAACTCGACGGTGGTGTAGCCATGGTGCATACAACCGGCTACGATGTCTAGCCGATATCGTTGCCGTGCACGGGCGATGGCCCACCCGTCCGGAGTTCATGGTTATGATGTGTCAGGGCAACCCAGCGGCCCCAGTGGAGCGCGGCAACGATGGGCGTATGCAATCGGCCCCAGTGTATCGCTCGGGGAGGATTTACAACCATCTCACTTGTGTCTACGCCAGGGTCCAGGGACTCAGTCAGCTCCCTCTCCTGCCGCCCCAACAGCTCGGCACCCCTTCTACGGCCTGGCTAAGGACGTTCCCACCCCTTTCGAGCTCTGGCCACGGCGTATGGTGTTAGCCTTGGCCTATCATGCCCCAGCTACCGAGACACACCACCCCATGTCCAGCACTGCCCGAGCCACCGCTGCTGCCCTCCACAACTATGTCAGGCGTGTCCGACAGACTTGTCGGTTGCCTCCACCGGTGCATGGCGATGTGTGGCTACGCCTCCTGTTCCGCATGCTGCCTGTCAACTGCCGCTTTGCCTACCTCCAAGTTGAGCGTCCCGATGTCATCTGCTGTGCTTACGGCTGTGGTGGAGTGGAAACCCAACACCATGCCTTTCACGCATGCCCCCAAATCCACCCAGTATGGACGTTTCACCGCGATGCCTGGAGGTGCTACGGGGTCACCTTTTCGTGGTCGACTATCTCGGACCTTGACCTTTTTACGGTCAATGCGCGCGGCCACCTACAAGACCCCGACTGTCCTCTCCGTTCCTCTGTCCTCGAGGTCCTCCGAACCCTCCGCGTCCAAGCGCCTTACCGACCGCTGTGGACCAAGTACCCCTACACGCTGCTCCTTGCGCCGACCTCTGAGACCGATCAGCGCCATTAGCGTTGGCCCAAGTGCTGTGGGGCGTCAAGCACATACGAAGTCCAACTATCAGTGCGTTTCAAGACCGCATGGTGCCCATCGTAATGACTGCGCTGTTCCCCGAACGTTCCGATACCCATCATTCTCGCGACCATCACACAGTGTACCGCAACATCTGGTTCTCCCAATCACGGCTGTACCGGCGGACTCCGATCCGGCCGAGGGAGCCGACTTTCGTGCTGGTCAAGCAAAGTCACTGCCGGCTGGACGAAGATTTCGATTGTTTGGTGCCACCTGATGTGGTGTCGTTGTTGTCCTCGACCGCTCCACCTCCTGCTTCATCGGACGCCAAGGCCTGGACATCAGCTTGTACAGCTGGGCACCCCGCTCCAGTATTAACGACGGTGGTCGCGACCCTACCTCATCTACACACCGACACGAAGCTGCACAGGGCGCTCGCCCCTAACCCCCTTCCTCAACCGTCCCACCTTTCCTGGGTCAGACACCCACCAAATGTCCATCGTGACTGCTA